GTTAGAGTGGTGATAGCAACCGGCTATTGTTAGCATGGTTATAGCAAGGCAGCTAATGTCTAACCTGACAACAGCCAGATGCATGTCTCGCTCCGCCTAACTCCACTCACATAGCTAGGCGGAGACATGCATCTGGCTGTTGTCAGGTTAGCTAATGTTAGCCCCCTAGAGGAATTACATCAATATAGGAGGAAACTGAGACCTGCTCTCTGATTGGCCCTTAGAGGTTGCAGCTACAGAGACTGACCAGCAGGTAAGATATTGACTGCTAATAGCCTCACAGCAGGATCCCATTTCCAGCTGGATGAGCCTGAACCAGAGCAGAGCAGCCTCCTGTTAACCTGCAGGTGATTGCTGGCCTCTAAGTCAGATCTAGATGCAGAACATTTGAATAGATGATATAAACACGTCACGCCTCCAGAGGAAAAAAACCTGCCTTCAAAATAAAAGTCTCACCCAAAGCAGAGATCAGAACCAGAGAGAGGCTGGATCTAGATCAGGGCGGGACCGGAGTGACGCGGAGGGTTTCAGAGGCTGTCAGAGGAGTGTGTGTGTGTGTGTGTGTGTGTGTGTGTGTGTGTGTGTGTGTGTGTGTGTGTGTGACAGGGTGAAGTTGAGCGCGCGCTCTGGGTAGTTTGCAGCTGATCGGTGCGTCAGGACGCGCAGTCCGTCCGCCTCCAGCATGTAGCAGCTCTCTGGACTCTCTGCTGTCCTTCTGACCCGTTAGCCGGTGACCGTCCGGAACCATGGGGGGGGCTCTGGGCTGTCACCGCTCCATCCCGCGGGACCCCGCAGACCTGAGCTGCGGGAAACGTAAATTCAGCGCAGCCTGCAACTTCAGCAACATCTCCGTGAACCACGAGCGGCTGAACATCAACGCCGCCACCGAGGAGGAGCTGATGACGCTGCCGGGGGTGAACCGGGCCGTGGCCCAGAACATCGTGGAGTACCGGGACTGCATCGGCGGCTTCAGGAAGGTGGAGGACCTGGCTCTGGTCAGCGGGATCGGAGCCGCCAAGCTGGAGGCCATCAAGCCGGAGATCTGCGTCTCCTCCAGGAGCAGCTCCTCCCAGCATTCACCCTCCTCGCTGCGCAGAGAGCCGGAGCATCCGTCCGGTACCGGGATCAACGTCAACACGGCCACCGCGGCGCAGCTGCGGAGCGTCCGCGGCCTGACGGAGAAGATCGTCCGGAACATCGTGGCCTACCGGGCGGAGCACGGCCCGTTCCGGAGCATCGAGGACCTGGTGAAGGTCCAACACGTCAGCAGCTCCCTGTTGGACCGGATCCGCTTCCAGGTGTACGTGGAGCGCTCCAGGACGCCGTCCACCAACACCCAGCAGAGCCCCACCTCCTTCAGCCTGCGGAGCGAGGAGCCGGACCTTCCTCCCGGCGGCCCGACGCACATCGGCTCGGTTCGGCCCAGCGGGGAGCCGCCGCTCGCGCTGCGGGACGGGAAGCCGGTGGTGCGTCTGGCGACGTGGAGCCTGCAGAGCTGCTGCTGCGAGAAGGCCAACAACCCGGGGGTCCGGGAGGTGGTCTGCATGACCCTGCTGGAGAACGAGTGAGTACCGGATCCTGCAGAACCTGCTTTCAGGTCCGGTTCTGATCCTCCAGGTCCAGGTTCTTTTAGCAGCCTGAGGGATAAGCTGTGGTTCTAAAGAAGGACCCGGTTCTGATCGGTTCCTCTGCTCTGGGTTCTGCATGAAGTTTCCATTCTGTGCTGACTTAGAACCAGAGGTCCGGTTCTTATGGCTGACAGAACCTTCCTCCAGGTTCTGAGAGCCTGACCCGACTCACTGCCAAGCAGCAGGTTCTGTTAGGTTCTGATCCAGACACAGAGAGGTGGTTCTGAGTTCTGGTCCAATAAAACCTCAGCAGGAAGTTTTGGGCCACATGTGGCAAAGGAAAACCTGCATGGTGAGCAAGGTGGTGGCAGCATGGTGATATGGGCTGCAGGGAAAACCTCCCTGAACATCCAGAGACTCCGTGGACGTGTCCAAACGGCCTAGTCAAAGTCCAGCAGGGAATCCTTCATCTGTTCTGAGTCTGAGCCCCAAAGATCGGATCAGGCGGTTCTGGAGAGCCGTGTTTGGTGGTTCCAGGCTGTGGTACCGGGCCGGGCTCAGAACCGTCCGGTAGATGCTGAGCAGCTAGAGGAGTTCCCTGTGGAGCCGTCTCTGAGGTTTTTCGGATCAGAGCGGGTTGAGTTTGGACCCTGGAGCTAGAACGGGTCGGCCGGTCTGACCCGGTCCAGTTCTGACAGGTTTCTTCAAGGTTCTTGGTGCTCTCTGCGGTTCCGGCAGAAGTCCTTGTGTTGCTGTGTCTGCAGGCGGCTGCTGGCCTTGATGCTGATAAGCGAAGCCTGAACGACGTCACGCTGAGTCAGAACCGGCTGATACGGGCCCAGAACCGAAGGAGATGATGATCCGGAAGATACCGCAATCATCCTGCAGCCAAAGCAAGCTGCTGATAGTCGGTTCTACTGGGTCAGGCTGAGGTCCAGAACCAGTCAAACCTTCACCGTTATCCAACAGAACCTCCACCTGGTCCAGCAGTCGGTTCTGATGTGGCGGGCCTTCCATCAGAACCCACTCTGCTGCCGTCATGTGAACCCGGTTCTGGTTTCTGTCTGTGGATCAGAAGGATCAGTTCTGCTTTTCCTAGAACTTCCTCCTCTGAGGTTCCGGTTCAGCAGATATTTTCCTGAGCAGAACCGCAGACTGTTTACACAACATGACGACTCGGAGCGACCCGGTTGGAGGGAAACTGGCCCGACTGGATTGTTCTCTAGGTTCCCCTCAGGCCCAAACATGTAGTTGTTCTGACAGAGGAGCCTGTTTTTCTCTGGAACCTGCCTGAAGTTCTGAGACGATCAGAAGGTTCTGATTGTTCTCGGTTCTGATGCCCAGTTGGACCATCAGCAGATTGTGGGTGTATCTAATAAAGAGGTCATTGGTTCTGTTCTTAACCTCAGGCTTGGAGCCACCAAAGGTTCTGCTTGTGGTCCTGGTTCTGTTGGAGGCCTGTTAGGCTACGGATCGGGTCAGGCTGTGTCCATACAAGGCTCTGGCTTTAGGTTCTGCTTTTCAGGCCCGGGTTCTGGCCCACATCGTGTCTCTGAAAGGCTATGAGGCTGAAGAACAGAATGGGCTCTGGTCCAAATGAACCTGGATTCCATGTGGACCGATCGAAGCCGACCTTTTGGACCAGAGATACCAGCGCGGCTCAGTTGATGCCGGCTGCGCGGCGCTGAGCTGGACTGTGGACCCATCAGAACTAGCTGAGCTTGTTAGTGGCGCCGATGCTTAGAGGAATAAAACGGGTCGGTTCTGGTTCAGCTGCTGAATAAAGCAGGATGTCTGAGTTTGGGAGGGGAGCTGGAATCTCTGGGGCGTCTCCTCCAGCTGACGTGGTTCTGATGCCTGCTGAGCTAAACGGACCTGATGGCGGCTCAGTCTGCTGGCAGATAGATGAGGGTTAGTCTGAGTCAGGAGGGTTGGCCCAAGATGGCGGCCAGTAGGAAGCTCCCATGGTGACTACATGTTACATATAATTCCAATATTTTACATCATGACTGAATTACAGCTACAGGTCTGTTAATGCGTTTAGTATTTATTATTTGCAGATTGATTGATGATGCCATATACTGTTGTACTGTGTCTGTAGATAGATCTGACATAGATTTACATTAGAGCTAAATTAATGACCTAGTTTAATAACTCCACAGAGCTTCAGTTTCTAGACGTGTCTTGCTCAGAAAGATTGGATCCAGTATTGGAGGCAGACAGACAGTTGGATTATTCACAACGTTTATTTAGAAACGGATCCTCCTTGAACAGTGAGGGGAAACCCGGTCGGTGTCAGGAAGCGGTTCCAGGTTCGGTAAACAGGCAGAATCCAGCAGGAGTCCGAGGATGGGTCAGGCAAACAGATCAGAACAGGAACAGGCGGGCTCAGAGGTCCAGAGGCAGAACGGGTCAGGATCAGGCAATCAGAACACAGATAAGCTGGAGAACTGTGACCAAAGGTTTGAATAATCTGGACCTGATGACTGGTAGAGGGTGGATCAGATGAACTGGGCGGAGCTACACAGGTGAATGAAATGAGCAGTCAAACCAATCACCAGGTCATGACAACACAAGCTAAATCACATACTTTGAAAAATAACTGGCAACATCAAATGTATATTTAGCTTTTTGCTAATAGTTACAAGAATGTAATAATTAGCATATACTTTACATACAAGTGTGTATGCAAACACATACACCCACTATCCAGTGATTTAATAATATTAGTTGCTCATGTAGTTTTAATTCATAGTGAAATATCCATAGCATTAGCTTAGCAAAATGGTGTTTGCTCACTCGTGCTAGAATGTCAAACGTGTTCAGTTCTGCCAACAGTCTCATGTCCACCACCTCCTCCAGCACAACCGTCTGAATCATTGATACTGATGCTGCTGCTCTTGGCGGCTCCTTCTCAGTGGTTTGTGATGTTTGTCAGAAGCAGCTTTCAGCAGCCTCGCACACACTGATGACATCAGCTGATGCTAACATCAGCCCCCCCGCGGTTTTACACCCCATCATCCACTGACTGTAAAATTACCAGTGAAATGTCAGAGAACTGCTTGTTTTTGCAGCCAAATGCTGCACATGTAGGCATTTTTACTGCACGTCTACGTGAGAGCAGGGAGTACCAAGATGGCAGCAGGTGACTTCAGTTTTTTCAGGCTATCAGCAATCCAGTGAATAAATAGAGATCAATGGGATTAACTGGTGTCTCTGCCTTCTGTTCCAAAGAATACAATGAAAATAAATGGTTTCTAAATTAATTTAAATATATTCTACTGACCACAAGAAGAAAACTACATTGGTAGAAATTAAAAATAATAAAGCTCTAGCATAAATGACCAAACAATAAGCTAATAGCAGCAACTCGCTAACAGTATTAACAGGCTAACATAGATCCTTTGTTAGAACAGCTGTTGGTTCCACTATGATCGTAACAGGAATTACGATTAAATCAGAATCTGATCACTGATCTTTTTTAGACGTTATGTTGGATCCCTGAAAAAAATTAGGTCACAGAAACAAAGTAACCCCTACCCCCCCTTATTCCATCCAGTTTCTGTTCTGTTATTTCCTGACATTGAGAAAATAGTCAGAAATGAACCCAATGCTGATGCAGAATAGGATCTATAAAAGAGGAACAACCTCTACAGCTTCATCATACAACTTCCCATTTCAGCTCATCACCCCCATTACCTGTTTGCCCTCAGACTCGTTTGCCCTCAGACTCGTTTGCCCTCAGACCTGTTTGCCCTCAGACTCGTTTGCCCTCAGACCTGTTTGCCCTCAGACTCGTTTGCCCTCAGACCTGTTTGC